CCCCCCCCCCCCCCCCCCCTCGGGTTCGAGTAGTCGCAATGTTTTCTGTAATATAGTTTGTTAAGTTGCTGTGGTTTCAGGTGTGTTTACACATCTTCCCAAATCAAGGAAAATCTCATCGAATATTCGTATCCTGGGTCCTGGAGACTTTTGTTCGAGTTGCACGAGGAAACTGTTTTCACCGGACACGTGGGAACGGAAGGTCAAATTAAACTGGAGAAAAAAATCTCCGTTTTCAAAAACAAAAAAGGGATACGTGTAGACCGGGCCTAAGATCCGACGAGGGCGCGACGGCGGCGAAAACGTCCCGTAAAAGTGAATTTGTGTTCTTTCAATCTTCATCGCGATTATTCCAGTTCTTTAACTTTGTCGAATATAATGAAATCATCTCTAAAAATAATATCGATCTACTTAGAAAGAGAAAGAAATTTTCGTTGTCGCTGGTTGACGTCCTACATAAAACGTGAAATTAGGCAATTTCATGTCGTAGTCATGCGGTGACGGCAAAGAAATGTACAAAAAAGTGTTTTGCTGTGGCCCAGTCCACACGTATGCGAGATTATTTTCTCCGTTTCGGCTTACCTTCCAAACGTCAACAGCATTTTTGGGCACCAAAACGCGTTTTCGGAAACGGTTCCCAAGTGGAGATTTTTTGTAAAGCTGGCTTACATCATATTCTACTAACATTATGCATGCTCTGTAAGGGATGCTATCGTATATCTATCGTTTTAGCGTTTTCATGTGGACGGGCGAAACGATACAAATGCGAAATATGTGGACTCGCATAATTTTTTGAAAACAGAGAAAAAAAATCTTTATTTTTATAAGCATCCGGATAAGTGTTGACAGGGCCTAGAGCCTATTCTCTCCGTAGACGTTCTCGTTGCCGTCATCGGATGTTAGGTTTCCTCAGATATATTGTTATAAAAGAAAATGCAGCTATTTTTTTACACACTGTTCATTATTGCATCTATTCCCCTTAGTCGTAAGCTTTAGCTATCTACAATCTTTGCTCAAATCCTGGGAAAGCATACTGTTGCAAACTGCCTTTCCCTCTCTACAATTTTGGTTAGTTACAATATAACACAATACAATACATATACTTTATTCGTCCTAAAAAGGCTTCTCAGAATAAAAATTAAAATCAATAATTGATGTTCAATACAAGCAGAGCTTATGAACGATGAAAGTTAAAAACTAAAACTAGTAAAAGCTGTACACACTCATAATTGGGTAAAACATTTCTTATTTATGTCTCTAAAAAAATTTTAAACAATGTACTTTATTTGAATGTCAATGTATAAGCACGAAAGTACTAATCGATCACACACGTTTTTTACGTCTCCAACTGAAGACGGGACAGCCATTTAACGTGGTCATCCGAGCCACGCGAAGGTCTAGCCGCTTGCAGTGCAAACAGAGTACCTTCATTTATCACTTATTTTAAGACCCTGAGTATGGGTCCGGTCCCGGGAATCGAACCCGCGACCTCCCGTTCTGCACAGCGCTGTACCGACTGAGTTATAGGCTCCTGGGCCCAGTTGCATAAAACGCCCGGAACATCTACGGGTACGCGTACGTGCACTCGTAACTTAAGTCAGTTGCATTAAATTACTTAAGTGGTCCACTTAGGGAATTCACTTAAGTGGTTTCACTTACGATTTTTGTAAGTGTTCGCTTAAGTGTCGTTTATGCAACAGAAATTGCGGGTATTGCATAAAACCTTTTTTACGGGAAAAATAGCACGTAAATTTACGGGACCTATGTAGGTCCCGTATCGTTACTGTTTTTACTAAACTTAACGAGATCTTTTACTGAGAAGTGAAAAAAAGTATTTTTCTTCACGTTATTCGTTCTAATACGCTTTGTTAACCTCTGATGCCGGCGTTGTGAAAAAAGAAGAAGAACAATCATTTTTAGTAAATATTGAAGAAAAATAACGTCTGCGTGCAAATTTCATTTTCTTGAGAGGCGTAAAATTGTTCGAAACGACTAAAAACTTTCTTTACACTCACCGATGGTTAGCTTAAAAAAAAAAAAAAGATTGAGTCATTAATGAAGTACTATATCAAAGTTACGTGTGCCTTTAAGTGAGCCCGTAAGTTACCACGTAAAACAGAAACTTACGAGAGTGCTAAGTGCGTTCCAGGGAACACTCGTAAGTGTACCCATAACGGATTCGTAAGTAACCTACTTAAGTGGGCACGTATGTGTAAGTTTCATGCAACCGGGCCCTGGCCGCGGTTAAGATTAGATTGCTCTGAATTAGAAGGTTCTTTGTCCTGTGGAGGTTTTGTATATACTTGGAAATATGTAATAGTTGGGAGCTCCGCGTGGTACGCTTTGTGATGCTACAATCAGGGACAAAACGGGTGCTTTTATTACTGAACAATTTCATACATATATTATTTCATTCCATTTAAACGCCGTAAATCCCCCCCTCCAACCCCCGAATCGATGTTGTTTGTAGTAAAAGAAAGACTTGTGCGTCTAAAACACAACACGGGTTTTGGGGGGAGGGGGTGGGGGTACACAAGGGTGGGTGATTGGTATGTCCACTGTCCAAAAAGGGGCCATTTTATAGAAGTGTCTCAACACTTTTGTCCCTCATTGTAGCTCTGGATATATTTCGAAAATAAGGAGTCAGGTGCACACCCTGTCATACACTTAAAACCATTATTGCCTGTCATACACTTAAAAGCCATTACTGCCAGACGGTAGAAGAGCTACTGTCTTACTGTTACTATAGGGGAAATATCATCATCTATTTCCTAGTGTTGCTGACGATACGGGCCGCTCGCACTCTAGGGTGTTGCCCCAAGTGTTGCTCCAGATATTACAAAAGTAATAGACTCATATAGTCAAATTAGTTTAACTTTTTAAACCAATTACACATCCAAAATAGATCCTAGAGGGGGAGCGTGGACCAAAATTAAATTATCACCCGTCCCAATGTTAAATGTTATGGGTAGTAGAAATAAAAATAAAAAAAACTGCTTTTGAGTCTCAGGTTGACCTTGTTGAAAATATTGCGCATGCGTTGCATTTAAAACTATTAGTTAAATATTAAGACGCTGAAAAATCTGAGAATTTTTGTCCGTCAAAAGGTGTTCCTGGATTCGTGTTGAGGTGCCGGTTAGTTTCANATTACAAAAGTAATAGACTCATATAGTCAAATTAGTTTAACTTTTTAAACCAATTACACATCCAAAATAGATCCTAGAGGGGGAGCGTGGACCAAAATTAAATTATCACCCGTCCCAATGTTAAATGTTATGGGTAGTAGAAATAAAAATTTAAAAAAACTGTTTTTGAGTCTCAGGTTGACCTTGTTGAAAATATTGCGCATGCGTTGCATTTAAAACTATTAGTTAAATTTTAAGACGCTGAAAAATGTGAGAATTTTTGTCCGTCAAAAGGTGTTCCTGGATTCGTGTTGAGGTGCCGGTTAGTTTCACCGATATAACAGGCGCCACAGCTTGCGTAGACTGATCACAGTCCCCTGTTTTGCGTAAGATCGTCAGAGGATCGAGCGGTTACTGTTACGGCGGCCATCTTGGTTTTATATGTACCGAGGGGGTGGACGTCGGGGTTTAAGGGAGTGGGGGAAATAGAAATAAGTTATTCTCGCTTCCTTCCAAACTTTCCCCCGCCCCCCTACGTAGATTTGACACTCGTCAGAGATAACCGCCAGTAACACAAAGCGCTCGATCTCGACGATCTTAGGAAAAATAGGGGACTATGAACAATCTACAGCCTGCGGCAAAGGAAAATTGTTAAACTACAAGGGGTCGTAAGTGACTTGGGTAGGACAGTATACCCAAGTTATTATACTATACCCAAGTCTTCATTTGTGAGTGTACCTGATTAATGTCGACCAAGTAATTACTGTTAATCGTAAGACCTGCATTAGGGTGCGGTAGATTGTTTGATTTCATGAAGTCTTCAATCACTTGTTTGGTTTCCACGTGGCCCTTAAGTTCTGCGATTGAGATTAGGTTTTCGCCGGCGTCGTCACAGTCATGGTAAGTCTCGAAGAGGCTTGAGGGATCGGTGTTTTTGAAGACAGGGAGGAGTTCTCGCACGGTCTCCGTGTGGCCGAAGAATGCTGCGGCCATAAGGGCGTTCGAGCCGTCTGTCTTTCTTGCGATGATACTCTGAGGATCGATGCTGGAAAAAATGGGTAAAAGTTCTCGAACAATCTCCAGGTGTCCTTTTCGGGCAGCGAACCACAAAGCAGTGCGACCGTTGACATCTGCCTCAGCAATGGCGTCGCGATTCATCTTTTCAATTAGTGGCAGAAGCAGTCGAAGGAGGTCAAGGCTACCACCCAAACAAGTTGAATGAATGTAATTCATTCCGTATTTGTTCTTCTTCATAATCGCTTCAGGTTTAAGGCGCATCATTTCACATAGGAAACTCGCAACGTTAAAGTGGCCTTTCTCAGCGGCGAAGTGCAGGCTTGATTTCTCGTGTATCTTGTCTACCACAAAAAAAAGATTCGTGTCAAAGCTCAGTAGCGCCAGAACGGTTGCTAGGTCTCCCTTTTCACTTGCATCAAGCATTTGTGCGTCTAATTCTTTAGTTTCTGCCAGTCTTGTACAGATCATATTGACAATAACAGCATGACCCTTTTCGTGAGCCAAAGTCAGTGCGCTCAGGCCACGATTGTTGAGTAAAAACACCTTGGCCTGCTCCATTAGTAGCAATTCCGTTATAGCTTTATCGCCTTTTTCAGCGGCAAACATGAGAGCTGTATTGCCTGTGTCTGGACACTGCACATCAATGTCTACGTCTCCTTCCAGCAGTTTGTAGACTTGTTTTACATCACCAATCTTCGACGCGTCCAAAAGTTGTTTTTTGCTTAAATCCATATCGCCATAGTGATCCTTTGTACTGTTTTCCGTCTGACGTGACGGTAAGGCCTTTGTATGACGTGACGGATATCTGAGCATATCTACCATCTCGTTCACTGTAGCTGTGACAAAGTTTATCCTGGAAAATCCTTTACGCTGAGCTGTGATGATTGCTTGGTCAATTTTTTGTCCTTCCCTGACGTAACGGCATAGTTTTGAGTCGTCCTCTCCTTCTTTTACGTATCCTCTCCAAAGTATCCGCTTCTTCCTCATTAAAGCCTCGTTGTTGGCCTCTTTTTCCTCCTCAAGTTCAATCGCTAGGCTGAGGAAAATGTTGTGTTTTAAAGGGATGCATTTTTCCAGCCTGATAAAGTCGGTCATATATTCAAGGAAGAGTGAAGATCCAACAGATAAAACCATGAGACAAAATAGAGCTGGGAACCAGCCAAATACCAAGTTGTCATAGGGTTCACCGTTGTCACTGCATTGACTTTTGCATATTTTGATTCCACACTGCCAATTGTATCGAACGATTTGATAGCTCATGTTGTGTTCTGTTGGCCAAGATGCTTTTGAGCAACGCAAGACGTCGGTTTCATTTAAAGGACACCTAAGGCATGGCTTTTCTGAGGAGCAAGACAAAGATTGAAAAGAAGGGTTGTTAGCGTGTCCCCAATTGCCAAACGACGAGTAAAGCCATAAAGATCCAAGGGAGCACAGTAGTGCAGTGATGGAGGCAACTGAGGAAACCCAAAGTATTTTGGATCTTTTGAATCCAACAACAGTTGGTGCAAACACAGATAAAAAGGTGCTTTTTAGTCTGATCTCGTCCATTATTGGCTTGAATCCCTTGCAAGGGTCCAGAACGTATTCATCTTTAACCCGATCGTATTTCATCTTAGGTTTTGGCTCTTTAACCGAGAAAAACTTCAGAGCTATCCAGACGACAGCAATCGTGCTTACAATTGTAATCGCGGCCCAGTATCCTGATAAATACGCCATGATCGAAAAATAGAGAATCCGCGGTATAACAAGTAGAGAGACTATGGCTGTGACAATCAGGTTACTGATAACTGAAGGACTGGCGATTCCGTGGTCGACTCTATTATTAAAAAATGTCGATGCTGCAGCCCAGCACAAGGCAAAACAACTAACAGGCATTGTGACACATTGTATAGATGTTACCTCTCCCGTCTGCCAAACGATCAGTAATTGCAGAGCAAGTTGGGGTCCGGCCTCCAGGAATGGCTCCCAGACTCTGTCGTTGGCCATTCGAAAGAGAATCTTCTCTGCTTCGACGTCCTCAGCAGATAGTTGAGATAACTGCTTGATCTGACTTAAAGTGACGCCAGGCTGTATGAATGGCAACTGCACCAATACTTGCTTCAACTTATCTCTGATCAGAAATTTCCACATGGTATTAAACAGGTTTCTTTGCTTTCGTTTAATTCTTATTATTTGGGTAATCTCGGACAAAAGCTTACCAAAAAATGGGAGAAAGGTTACAGAGATGGTATACCATCCAAAAAGAACGTGGCAGCTGAGGAAGAAACTAGCTCCTGTCCAGAAATCCGTCAGTACATCTATGGCAGGCAAATAACACTGAAATATCAGGGTCTTGATTACCAGCACAGGATCTATAGGTATTACCCAATTGGCCTGCAGATCAGAAAGATAGAAGAATGGCAGAATAGGAATAGCAAGCAGCCACCACAGTCCCAAAGCTGCCTTCTCCTTTTTAGTGAAGCTTTCATTCTCCTTGGAACCTAAATTGAAGAAAAAAAACTAACAGTCAATCGGATATCAACAGAGATAGACAAAAATAGACGAAGATAAAACAAACAGAAAAGGTTCCATCACAAAAGAAACGGACCACATGTAGTTAGATGAACTAAAACAAAGCCAAGAGAGACAGAAACAGAGAACGAGAACGAGAATGGAATAGCAAATTTGCTGCAAAAATCCCTTGAAATTTCAGTATGCAAAGTCGGGGAGGGGAGGAGGGGAACTAAACGAATTCTTTAATAGGAAAGCTCCGTTCTGAGGTCGAACCTCTAACCCTTTTTATAGGTCTTTAAATAGTACCATTTCTGGAATTAAAGGTACCCCTCAGTTTCCTGAGTATGTTGAGAAATGGTACCCCTTTCACATACCAAGCGTAGAATGATGAATCTCTTTTATTAAACGGTTGTAAATGTAACGTCTTTTAATATGAATGAATTACTAAAAACCCAAGAAATTTTCATATCTTTTTTACAACCAAGAACTCTTTTTGTCTTACCTTACCTTGAAAATCACAGCCGTTTCAATGAGCATTTTAAATTTACTTGACTTCTGTTCTATGAAACGCGCCAATCATACTCTGGTAATCTTTACGTATCCTCTGACAATACCACCCAATATGGCTTGCGGTCCCTAAAATTCGCTGTTTCTCTTTTTTGGAATTCCCAGCCCGACCAATTTAACTAACTTAAGATCTCTTAAACTATTTTAATTTGTGAAGCCCTAAAGAACTCTATGGTTAGTTGTTATAAACATTTTAAACACTTTGACATTATTTCTAGGGTCGATATGCATGCTACCTGATAAACCATGGAGAATTGTTGCAGTTTCATTTATTGCGTGGAGACGTGTGTGGCCGAGCGGTTAACACCTCGAACTCCGGATCTGGAGATCTGGGGTTCAAGCCTCGCTCGTCGCGTTGTTTCCTTAAACAAGGAACTTTACTCCACTTTGTCGCCTTTCACCCAGGTGTATAAATGGGCACCCGCCACACACTACCTAACAGCACTCGTATCTCCTAGGCATGCTTCATCCTAAGGAAACCCGCCGTTTGGGTTATTGGCTCGTGTACACTGTTACTTTTACTCTCAAGGGATATTACACCAGTCAGGAGCCCATAACTCGCAGCGAGCAACTCCCATACTGGGCCTATGTCACGGCGTTTTTACGGACCAGTTTATTTTTAGACACATTTTAGGGCACTTTTTCCCGCGAAAATAGAACTGTCCACCATGTCTGTGAGCGCACTCGAAGTATAAGATATCAAAAAGGAAAACTAAACGTTATTAAAAGGCAAATAATATCATTTTTAGGTCTGTAGGTTTTGCTGATTAGAAGATATTCAAGATTCGCGCCAAAACCGTTCTAGAAATAAACTGGTCCGTAAAAACCCCATGACGCGAGCGCATGGAAGTTACTCGCTCTTAGTTATGGGTTCCTGGCCAGTGTAATTAAATTTATGGACCCCCGGCCCCCATGAGGACTCTTAAGAACCACCCCCACACGGCGGGCCAAGAGGTTTAGGACTGGTCTAAAGTCTGGTTTTTTACAGTAAAAGGTGTGGGCAAAAGTCTGGTCTGGAGATTTTAGGTATGGGCAAAACAGACCTGGCCATTAGGCAGAAATTATGTTATCATTACTTAGATTAGAGCGCAAACAAAACTCAAATCCATTTCGAATTCGCATATATTTCTTTCTTTCTTACTCATTTGGAATTGAAACGATAAAGACGTTCATACAATCCCGTAGTTCCCTCAAAAACCATACCCGATTCCAGACTAGAATGGGCAAAGTGTATACCCGTTTTCAGACCAAAACAGCGCAAAAACCCTACCCGATGGGGCGGCACATACCTATATAGCTTATATAAGGGACTACCCCCCTCCCCCCCACCCCGGAATGGACCTCTCTTCCAAACTGATATGAGGAGTCTACTTTCCAATATAAGCCAAGACTTATAATTATATAATATAATTATTTATTTGTTTAACTGTAAACATTGTTTGGCGCTATCGATATCTTGTAGCTTCCTCGCTTCAAACAATCTCTCTTGCTTCAAAGTATTTCTAGTTGACAGCGCATTATATAATTGTTTTGTCATTTAAATATTGCAATATTGTAAAGTGTTGTTGCGTTCAATTAAATGTATTCCGGACTAAGAATTCAGGGTGTAAACTCTAAAAATCACTTGTTTTGGCTTTCATAGCCAAAATTGATCCAAAGATCTCGTGGACAGTCACAATTAAGATAAATGTAGCATTCCAATGGTAGGAAAATTTGCGGTTGGAGAGATTTGTCACAAATTTTTGCGTAGTCTTATTCCGGAATAAGATACAGTCGAACCTCCGCTTACGGTCACTTTTTTTACGGTCACGTTATAGAGTGGTTCAACAGTAAATCGGAAACGCACTGTGAATACAGCGCTATATAAATTATTTATTTATTTCAACAAAATGCCCTACCGGGTGATCGCTCTTGATTGCACATCTTTATCACATTCGGTTGATCCATGGCTAGAAATTCGTAGCACTGGATTAGACCTGCATCAAATCAATAGGCATTATTTTTTAGCCAATTAAAGACCCCAGGGCACCCGATCAACGAAAAGTTCGGGTGCTAATGTAATCAGTGTAATCGCATCATCGGAAGAAAGTTTAGAGAATTGTAATATCCGCTTCAATCTTCGGTTTTATTTGGCAGTTCAAATCGAGTTCACTAATCTTTTATCAAAGTTACAGTTCTAAAATTTCTTTTCTCTTGCGTGATCACTTACATTTCCATCCCGCATTGAAACCTAGAATAGCACTCAGCTGTGTAGCTTAACAGTGTTCCAGCTTTAAGCCCCTTTTGCACGAACAACTCACAAACAATGTAAGGAATACGAGCGAAGAAATAAGTCAAGCTTACTAGCATCATGGCAAAGCCAAGCCCTGCGTAAGCAGAATGATTTGATGTATCATCTATCACGCTTTGTCAGCATTGGTATTCAGACTGCCCAATACGGCATAGAAAATGAGGAGTAGAATATTAAGCAGTGTTAAAACAGTGAAACAACTTAGAGTTACCTTTTGTTGGTGCTTGGGGTACTGGAGTTAGCCCAACTTCTAACTAAACATGGCTGTAGGGAGTGAAAAATGCGGATACAAGCTGTTCTTATTCTGCAACCAGGAAAATGAAAGCACCACCTCCCAAGGCTTGTCACGCAAGAATGTCTGGAATGTCTGCTTAACAGGGAAGCCACTTCCGTCGATGTATGTTTCTGTGAAAAACAACTAATATCAACTTACTGTATCACATACATAAATGTACTAGAACCAATCACGAGGTGCACCAATATAAGAATTGCAATAGACATCTACTGAGTTAATTTCCGGCCTATAATACTAAGTGCAGAAAAATAAATATAAATCCTGAATGGAATGACAGGCCTGCTGGAACTTTTGATCTCCATAGTTGCATTGCTGGTTTTGTCTGATGCAAGTCTTGAATGAGTACTGCAAACTATTTGGAACATTTTAATGAACAACCATGTTCACGGAACTTTGAAAATCTGCTGCTCAGTTTTGGAGATATCGCCCGAGGTCATTTTCGTAGAATCTGACCCCTGAACGTGTATAGTGTATAAGCTCGGCTTTTCTTATGTAAATAATATTTTATGAAAGATTTGATAGTTTTCTCCGAAGTGACTGGGTCCAGAAAAAAAAAA